TTTAATTCTTTTAAGTATTTGATCAGCTAAAGAAGTACGATCTGAAAAATCAATCTTACTTTTTTGTATATCTTGAATCTGATGATGCAGCTCCTAAAGATCCAAGCTGTTATCATTATTCTGCCAAATATCCAACAAATGGTTTTAAACCTTCTCCCAATTCCATTAAGAAGCATTGCATTTGGCAGCAGTAACACACACATAATTATAGCTAGCATGACATTTAAGTCTTTCCTTGAATTTCAAAGCGGAAATTTCATTATTTATATTCAGGACACCAGCCTCTTAGGCATTTAGCTTGGTCTCAATCCTTTCATCAACATTTATTTGATTGTGAAGAGCCTTGGACGTATTCTCAGCCAAATAATTAAGAAAATTTGCATGTTGAATATTTGAGATATGGCCACCAAAGCTGCGACCATGGAAGCAACCAAAGAAACCAAGGGAACAACTCCCATTATTATGAGCCCAAGAGCACATTTAGGTCTCACTAGCTGGGTGTGTATTTGTTGTAAGACTTGAAAACCAGCATCAGCCTACCACAGCTGTGAAATATTTCCTGGTAATAAGACAAAAGAGGGCTGATGGAGCATCATCATTCCTTTTTCTCTATTATTTCTGGTGTTACAATTAGTTTAATTACATTTACTACATGTTACAAGATATCTGTCATCTTCCCTTTTAACTTTTACATTTCCAGTAATTAAAGCATAAGGAGATTGAACACAGGCCCATAAGCCATAGCAAGAACCTTCCTTCTAGTATGTGCTGGTAAAGGTTTCTCAGTAAAATGTAAGAATTCTGAGGCAGCAATTAAGCTCTCTCCAAACATCTTTCTGAATGCCACCTTTGCTGAAGGTCAGGATGTCAATTAGTATGGAGACTCCTTGCAAAACCAGCATGGAACCACCATTTGACCCAGCTATCCCTCTCCTCGGACTATACCCAGAGAACTTAAAAATAGCATACTAGAGGGACACAGCTGCATCGATGTTCATAGCAGCACAATTAACAACAGCTAAACCATAGAACCAACCTAGGTGTCCTTCAACAGATGAATGCATAAATAAAATGTGATTGATTATATATGTATATATATACATACATATGTATATCTATATATGTATATATGTATGTATGTGTGTGTATGTATATGTGTGTGTGTATATATATATATATATATATATATATATGTATATATCCCCTACCAATCGAATATTACATAAAGATAAATGAAACTATGGCATTCGGTGGTAATGAATGGAGTTGGAGAATATCATGCTAAGTGAAATAAGCCCCCTCACACACACACACAAACACAAAGGCCAAATGTTCTCTCTGGTAAGTGGATGCTAGTTCACAATGTGGGGTGGGGAAGATAGAGACTTTAATTAGAGAGGAGTGCAGGGAGGGGAGGGGATATGGGGATAGGAAGGATAGTAGAATGAAACAGACATTATATATAATATATATGGATGCTAAACCACTCAACAAGGGAGGGGGGAGAGAATAAAAATTCAGTGGATTAGACAAAGTTGGAATGAAGGGAAGAAAAGGGAAATGGGAATAGAAATGACAGTAGGATGAATCAGACACAACTTTTCTGTGTTCATATTTAACTACACCACCAGTGAAGGTCCACAGTATGTACACCTCAAGAATGGAATGCTAACTAAAATGACTTTTACTCCATGTATAATATGTCAAAATTTGCTCTACTGTCATGTATACCTAAAAAGAGTGAGAATTTTTGAAAATGATAAGGGGAAATTTGTATACAGAGAAGATTTGTGAGTTAAAAACTCTTCAATAAATGGTAATGTCATTAAGGTTAAATAAAATTATAAAAGACTACCTAGAGCCCATACAAAATAATAAACAATGGGAAATAGAGTTGCCCAAGTCAGTCTGTGCAACTATCTAGTATCACAAAATTTTTGGTTTACAACTCTTTTCTATTTGTTTTACAAAGCAGCACAAGAGAAATACTTACAAGTTGAGCAGAGAGGGAATACTACATAGCAGTATTATGAATACTATTAATAGTGCTATGTGCTCTCAAAGAAAGCATTCTCAATTTCTTCCCTCATGCCATAAAAAATCATGTAGTTGAAAGATACGCTAGTTTCTGATTAGATAACACATGCTTGTGTTTATGACATTAAGCATGTGGGCAGCTGCTCAACTTGGCAGGTCAGATCCAATAGATAAGGAAGACACTCTCTTCACACAAGACAGTGTTTCTTTGAATAATACTATGAAAGCAAGAGTAAAAGCAAAACTAACAGACACAGGCAAATGTATTGCCAGACTAGGAAAACCCCAACACTGAACCTATGTACTAGGGAGTCTGAAACAGCTTTTCAGGGTCCTGACTGGGAAGTCCTGGGCAGAGCATCCTCTCCACAGGTGAGAGTCTGAAGTCTTTTTGTAACTTGTATTTAAAGTGTGGCTGAATAAATACAAGTTAAACAAAAAAAGCTTCATTCTAACAGCTTGCATGACCTAGTGACCCCATGAAGAACACTACATCCTCCCCAAAATAAGTCAGATCCCGGAGGAGGGAGTGATAGCCTTGAGATGACTAAATAAATTGAAATTCCAATGAGTGAGCCACTGAGCCTAATGCATTGAGAAATCAGCATTCTTCAGCTGTTTCAACAAGGATATACAGACATCATGCAGGCACATGGAAAGGGAAGATCTTTAGTATTTTTTTTTAGATCTCTGGTACTGAATCTTCCCTCTGGACCTTATAAAGAGTTAAAACTCTCATATGTAAAATGAAGCCATTTTGTGTGTAAAATAACATGGAGTGGAGATAAGCATGAAGCCTAGAGATTTACCCTTTGGAATAAAAACTAGTGTGAATATTATTCTCCTAGTTATCACTATATTTCACTATTTATTTTCCCAAATAAAGTTAAATGTAATATTTATAGGTGGTGTTTTCTTGACCCAAAGGGCTCACATATGAAGAGAATATTGTGTTTTTACTTTTTGAACAGGACTTGTAGATTAGAGACTAGAGGTTTATTTCAATCAAAATTGTTTTTCTCTCTGTGGTGTCCTGAGCTCCTGGAGCTGTAAGATCTGAAGAGGGACAGAGTTAGTTTATAGTGTCGTATAATTACTGTATTGCAGAGTGGACTCAAAGACCACGACACACGCTATCTATCATATAATCCAATAAGTATAACAAACATTATATTGTAAGTCATTAAGTAGAACAAGAAAGGTCTATAAAATCAAAATATATAATGAAATAAAAATGTGGGGGCATAAATGCTCCTATAGTATGTCTTTTTCTTTTTACAATCATCATTTTACATGTTTCTGGTTACAATTTTCTACTGGGTATCCAAGACTAAAGAGGTGGTCCTATATTGGGATGCTTTTTCTACACTTGAGTTCAGTCCAGTCTCTTCAGTGATGAATGTCATGGATTCATGAGGAACTGCATGGTTTATTCAGTTCAAGTGTCAGGATGGGCCTGTAGACCAAGTGGTTTCCACAGGAACCATTGAAACTATTTCCTCTTCAGCAACCCTCCTTTTTTACCTGAATATGCACAATGGCTCCTAGTCTCTTGGGTCTTTCTCCTCTCCCTGATTGGGAGCTTGTATAGCTCTCCAAAGTTGTAGATCCCTTAGGGAGTACTGCAACTCTATATGGTGAAATGTTAAAGTTGTAATTCAAACTAGGGATATCTGGGCATTATTTTCGTATCCCTAGGTACTTTCTATAACTATCTTAATTTTTCCATAATTACAAATAAGAGTATAATTTACATAAATAATATTCCCCAAATAAAACTTGATTAAACATGTGAAATAATTAATGGAGATGTTATAGCATTATTTACCCAATAGAATGTTTTACTATGGCATCAATCCATTAGCAAAGTGAATAGTGGGAAATGTGTGACCTAATAACATCATTCAACGCATGACAAGGTTAATGTTAAGAAACATACACTTTATTTAAAAGCAAATTGCATCTGTAAGGCAAATATAAGTAAAAATGCTCTGTAAAACACGCATGGTGGTCCATGTCTGTGACCCTAGGGACATGAGAAGCTTTGCAAGTTAAAAGCCAGGCTCCATAACTTAGTGAGGCCCTACGCAACTTAGCAAACCCTATCTCTACAAAAAAAATGGAAAAAAATCTAGGGATGTGGTTTACTGATTAAGTGCCCCTAAGTTTATGTACAAACATAAAAACTAAAAATTTAAAATTTCATATAAACCATAAGAGACTTCTGAAATAATCAACTCTGAGAATTGTTATTTCTCCAGTTGTGAAAAATGAGACTCTTTAGTAATTGTTGATTTATACTAAAATTATATCCTTTTAGGGATGCACTATTCTGTATTTGTATTTCCTTATTTCTGCAATATCAGTTAAAGATGTTAAGAAAATTTTCAGCAAATGTCAAAAGCAATTACCCATTTTCTACATTTAAATGATTTTTTTTCCCTCCTAGGTCCCAAATACTTCAAGGGATGGGCTCTAGATAAGAAACTTACTACAATCTTTATATTTGTCAAGGTGTTTTTGTAAATATTTTGCTGTTATCTAAGGTACACACTTTGGACAAATGCTATTGCACACTTGCTACAGATATCAGGTCAGAAATTGAAAAATGTCTGGAAATTTGAATACAGTCTTGGACACATTCTTTGGGTTTCTATATGCTATAAATTCTCCAGTGTTTTTAAAATGTTTGATCAATGTCCAAAAACTTTGCAAAACTTTTCCCACATGTCCTCTCACTCGTATGAATTCTGAGGTGTTGAGTAGGGTATGAAAAATTGTTTGAGACTCTGTCACCTATTTTACACTTGTATAATTTCTGTGCTATCATATCGCTGGTATGAAATGCTGTTGAACTACTGTGAAAAAAGGGTTGATTCATCCTTAAAGAAACTGATGCAATGTTTTCACTTGTAAAACTTCTCTGCAGTAAAAAATCTATAATGTTTAGTAAGATGTGACCTTCAATTGGAAAAGCTTTGCAATTCTTCACATTTATAGAACTTCTCTCTAGTATGGGTTCTCTGGTGTCGGGTAAGTGAGGATTGTTGATTAAAATCTTTGCCACATTCTCTACATTTGTAGGGCTTCTCTCCAGTGTGGATTCTCTGGTGCTGAGTAAGAAATATTTTTTGATTAAATGTTTTGCCACATTCTTTACATTTGTAGGGCTTCTCTCCAGTGTGGATTCGCTGATGCTGAGTAAGTGATGATGATTGATTAAAACTCTTGTCACACACTTTACATTTGTAGGGCTTCTCTCCAGTATGAATCCTGTTGTGGCGATCAAGATTTGAGGTTATATAAAAACTCTTGCCGCACACTTTACATTTGTAGGGCTTCTCTCCAGTGTGGATTCGCTGGTGCTGAGTAACTGATGATTTTTGACTGAAACTCTTGCCACACACATTACATTTGTAGGGCTTCTCTCCAGTATGAATCCTGTTGTGGCGATCAAGATTCGAGTTTATATTAAAACTTTTGTCACACACTGTACATTTGTAGGGCTTCTCTCCCGTATGAATCCTGTTGTGGCAATCAAGATTTGAGTTTGTATTAAAACTCTTGCCACACACTTTACATTTGTAGGGCTTCTCTCCAGTGTGGATTCGCTGGTGCTGAGTAAGTGATGATTTTTGACTGAAACTCTTGCCACACACTTTACATTTGTAGGGCTTCTCTCCCGTATGAATCCTGTTGTGGCGATCAAGATTTGAGTTTGTATTAAAACTCTTGCCACACACTTTACATTTGTAGGGCTTCTCTCCTGTATGAATTCTCTGGTGATTTTTAAGGCTTGGTTTTTGACTAAAAGCTTTGCAAAATTGTTTACATATGTGGGGCATCTCTCCAGGGTGTGTCCACTGGTGACAAATAAGATTGGAGCTTTTATTAGAAGTTTTGTCACATTCTTTGCATTTGCATTGCACATCTCCTGTATGAACACTGTGATGTTGAGTAAAGTTCTTGAGTGCATTGCCTTCTTCACATTGGTAGGTCTTCGCTGCAGAATAAATTTTTTAGTGTTGAGTAAGAGTTGAAAAATTTTTAAGTCTTTGCCACACTTTTTACATTAAGAGGTCTTTAGTTCAGTATAAATCCTCTGATGCTCAACAAGTTGTAACCTTTCACTAAAAGTTTTTTCTGCATTCTTTAAATTTATAGGGTTTATCACTGTCATAGTATCTACTGTGTTTAGAAGATGTTGAGAAAGCTGATGCTTTGATATATTCTTTAAACATATAGGGCTCTCTTTCTCTATAAATTATCTTGTATTGAGCAAGGTCTGCACTGTGATAAAGAACCCTTTCATATACCTTACACTTGCAAGTTTTGTCTGGACTGAAGCAAAATTTCCCACATTTTTCATCTTGGTATGTTTCCTTTAGAAAATGCCTAGGGGTTGCTCTATATTCATAATTTTTATTACCAATGTAAATATACTGGTAATTACTCAGGGTAGAGACATGGCTAATGCTGTTTCTTATAGCATTATGTATATAGTGCACTTTCCAGAAATCTGTATCAGAATTCTCATTGAGCAATAGTGGGGAATTAGAAACCTTTCTATAATTCTTAATATTGTCTATTTGGGCACAAGGAGAAATTACTGTATTGTTGCAGAAAATTTGAGAATTTCTTTACAAAATGTCCATTTATCACTTTTAAAAATGTCTTCTCTTGCAAATGTTTGAATGGAAGTTTACCTCGATGCTACATTTTTAATTGGCCAAGTTAAAAACTGATGCATGGACCAGATTTCAAATTTTCCACAATTCTTTTCACTTCAAAAATGGCTGTGGATATATTCTTACAGACACACAGCTCCTCAGAAGTAAGTGAAATAAATTGAATTTTTTTTCAGATATTGTTTCTGTTGTCATTTGACCATAAAATTTTTATCATAAATAGGGACTACTAATTGGTTTTGACCACTATAATACGATTTTTGAACTTTACTCTCACCTATATTTTCCCATTGTTTTCTTAGTTGTAAATGGTTAATGTCATACTTTCCATATCTTCCCTCTCTCTCTTGTATTCCCTGCTCTGGAAAAGTTTCTTCAGGGTGATGAGAAGTCATGGCTGAAATAAAAATGATAATCAAGTTTACTTACTGTACTGGGCTGAGTATATTTTGCAAACATAAGAAATTACAGCAATAAAGGAACATCAGCAGGAGAGTAGGTTATTAAATCTAAGCCCATTGTTAATACAGAAACATATAAATCAAATAAAAATGTACACAGAAAATTACTTTGAGAACTTTCCAAATCATCTTAGTGCTCACAGTATCCAAGATGAGTACATTCCTCTGTAGAGTAATATAGTAGAGGAAAATACACTGTGTTACACAAAGCCTTTCCTCCTTCAAAATATATTTTTAAAATCTACCGACTTTCTTCTGTTTCATTAAAAAAGAAAAATATGAAATATGCAAATATTTGGGGACTGTTCAAAAAGGGGTTCCTGCTTACCAACAGAAAAAAATCATGGCTAAATTTACTGTAAGAAAATACATTATGAATTACTCAAAGGGAATAGTAAATTATCATTTAAAAGAAGTTGACTGAATTAAACCAACACACACAAAAATGGAATTAAATTTAGTCAAGAATTGTTAATAGTAATAAGCAGAAAATGTGTTTTTAAAGTCTTTCTTTAGAAAATGTCTGAAAGAGTCACAGGTGGCTGTACATAGCAACATAGGAGCTTGAGCCAGAAGGATCAAAATTTCAAGGCCAGCCGAGGTAAAAAATGTAAAGTGGTAGTTCTCTTTCCAGTACTAATAAATGCATCTCAGAATATAAGAAAAATAAAACATCCAAAACAGCTCAAAGTTGTAAAGACTCAAAGCAGGTTTTAATCCAAGTTTTAAAACTTACAGACAATATTCAGAGCATCCAATAGAAAAAGTTGGGTCACCTAGAAATGTGTAACTACATAATTGTAAAATCCTTAGTCAAAACTTCACAAAACAGAAGGGTATTTGGGGCTATTTTCAAGGGATGGAAGGATAAAATTATCAACCAAAACATTATATTCACAGCTACTATCTTTCAAAAGAGAAGGAAAATAAAGACTTTAAAGATATAAATACACACACTATTCATCAACACTAGATCTGTTCTCCAAAAAAGTATGAAAGGTAATCTTCATACTGAAATGTAAGTGTGCACAGCAACACAAGTCATAGGAAATTCTAAACATTTCTTGGCTCAAACAATTGATTTTATTGTAATAATGGGACACAAAAAAATTTGAAATAGAATTTGAAAGAAAAGCATAAAAGCAAAACTGTTAATAGACATATATACCTATAACAATAATATAGTTTTGAAAAGCCACAAATATATTGAATTTTTTAAAAAGTGAAGTCAAGTTGATCCTCATACAAAGTATGAGTAGGAGATTCTTCATTTTTAGATATTTTTATTGGCAAATTCAAGATTACAAAATTCTGATGAAAACAAACCTTGGCTATCTGAATTACCTCTAAAAATTATAACTCTAGGTAGTCCACAGTATACTCTAAATCAAAGGACACACACATACTGAAAGCCAAGGGATACAAGCATGACACATACAAAAGTGACCAAAAAATCCTGTGCAGTCTAAATTATAGTATACAAAACACAGTTTAAGACAGTATTAGGACATAGAAATAATTTTAAATTTGAAAAAAGACTTTATAAAGAAGCAAAATAAAGAAAAAGAACATTTCCCCAGGTTCTGAATTAAGAGTAAATACATTTGCAACATATATCATACTTCCCAAACACACAAAGAAAACATTGAGAGAGTTGAATGAAAACCAAGAATCGCTGTCATTCTAGGAGACATCAATCCCCACTTACTGAAAAGGGAAATACAGTGAAGCAAAATGGTAATTGCAAAGCATAAGACTTTGAAAATATTTGAAACAATTGTAGATTTATAGAATCCCTATTCTTAATCACAAGTGGGATATTATGCTGGATACACCAATTTTATGTGTTAAAACAAAGGTTAATAAACATTTAAGTGATAGTTATTTTGTAACCAACATGGAATAAAAATTTGACGTCAAAGTGATAGGGATGTTCAAAAATCCCTAAATATGTGTCAGTTGATTGAACACTCTTGGGCATGTTGTTGATCAAGAATTGAAAGATAAATTTAAAAGATGTTTATACTACTTAAAGTTAACTAGAGACTCCAGGTAATATGCATCAGACTCCCGTTGTTAAAAATATATTTTTTTTTGCAGAAAAATCTAACCTTTAAATTGTATGAATATCACTCAAAGTACAAATAAGACTATTTCCCTGCTTCAAAATATACTAAAATTTACAACATTCAATTGTAAATGCAGACATGGAGTTAGATAGACGGACTTCTTAGTGAGTGTGGCAATAACCTTCACATCAATAGCAAATTAATAACATTGCACACCAGTGTTTTGACATTGTTATTCAATAGAGCCATCATGGGGGATTCAAAACAAATATCCTTTGAAAAGAACAATGAGCCAATGTGGAATATAGAAACTATAGAACTTTGAAGTCAAAGAATTTATTCTAATTATATATTTTACAAAATGTATACACACTAGGTTAACTGAAATGTCACAGAAAGAATACTGCAGAATTCTACAAGTATGACATCTCTAAACTAAAGGAGCAGCTTTCTGAACAAAAGAGAATGGTTTTGTGATGGGGAGACAGAAATGAATCCTTGCTTCCTAGGCATAGTTTTTTTTGAGATCTAAACTTTTTAGAGATATATTGCATAAAAATTTGAATTAATGTTACTGAATTGTATATTTAAATTCTTGGAGACAGTAAGTTTTATTTTGTAGTTTTGATCATAATGAAAATTACAAACAATACATAAAAGAGATTTGCAACTTTTCTCAAACCTTCATTGAAAATAATGTGGTCTTTATCCTATACATAAGAACAAACTCATCAATATACAAATGATGGGCATGCTTGTAATCTCAGCTACTAGGAAGTCAGAGGTAGGAGAATTGCAAATTCAAGACATCCTCAATAACTTAGTGAGAACCTCTCTCCAAATATGAGTGAAAAGGAGCTTGGGGTGTAGTTCAGCATTAGAGTATCACTGCCATCAATCCCCATTACATTTACATATAGAAAATTTCAATTTCTACGTACATGGGCAGATTAAAAGACAATCAAGATCAAATATAAAAGTCATAGACAAAAAGAGGCTTAATATTTATACAAGCAAAAGCACATATAACATTATTGGCAATACAAACAAGAGTCATGCATATCTTAATTTGTGAAGCAATGAACTGATATGGGCAAACCCAGTCTGCAACACAGAATCTACTATACACAATGAGAAAATAAGGAAAAAATTAACCAATCAAATTATCAATATACACAGATGTGTTATTTTACAAATCCTCTTATTCAAATACAACTTAAACCATCTCTCAAAAGAGCAGTCTTTGTCCATCTTGACTTTCATTCCATGGCAGATAATTTCACAAAAACTCCATTACACATATCAGAAAGAACTCTGATAAGGAAATTTTAGTGAAAAAAAAATGTACAAATCAGTTTAGAGAAACTGACTTGTGATATTAATGTATTACAATGGGTTGACCTAGTGGTCTCCAGAAATGTACAAAAAATTCCTGCAAATAATGGAAGAGGGACTGGAGTTATGGACTACTGGTAGAGGGCTTGCTTACCATGTATGAGGCCATGGGTTTGATCCTCAGCAACACATATGAATAAATGGGAATTTCATTAACAACTAAAAAGATCTTTAAAAATTATGGAAGAGTTGTCAGATAATATCGACACTCACAAGGCAAGGGGAGTGTTTTGTTGTTAATTTGCATGTACAGAGACATTACTGGAGGAAAAGCAGGAGACTAGATTAGTTGAAAGCACAAAACACAGGAGAGATTCTTCTATGATCACAAGAGAAAGAAATTCAAG